CCTGGCAGAGGGGCAGAGTCTGGGGCAGCCTGATACAGAGCATCCTCAGCTGGCTGCTCCTTCTGCATTTGCCCTTGAACTCTAGACAGAGTGACATCAGGTGACATCAGGAGTCCCCTAGACCTGTCCACCCCAAACCCTGGTGTTTTCCCTGCTACGAGTGTGTAAGGGTTAGAGTGCTGCAGGAAATAACTCTGGGGCATCCTTAGTGTTTATTTTGGGGTATCACGAGAGGAACGTGCCTGGTAGGGGCTGCAGACATGAGGACTGGAGATACATTACAGGAAAATCCGCCAGTGTTCTCATGCTCTGACGTCTCACCCTAAAATGTCTGTGCCAACTCTAAAATTGTATCTTTTGATTTGAGGATCGGGTCAATATACACCATGATCCCCTTACACCCACAAACAGAACAGGCCAAAAGATTCGGGAAGGGAACCAAGGACCCTGGGCCACCTCCAGGGGGAGCTCCAGACCAAAGATGCCAGGATGGGGTTACATCCCTTTGTGAGAAGACTTCTGGTGAAATATTACTACAAATAAAAGGGCACTGTGTTTGTGTGGCAGGTACGTAGGAGCCTCAGCCAAGGGTGGGTTGAGGGAAGTCATGGGAGGCCCAGGTAAGTGGAAGAGGCCAGCTCACAGTCTGTGCAGAGGCCACTTCCAAGGCTACACCCTTCCTTGTGTTTTAGGTCCTCTTTTTCCCCCAGTGCTGACTCAGATGCTTGACATTCACATCCTAGGAACTGGAGTCTGGGGACAAATGGATCCTGCTGTCCTCGTATTGGGCCTGTCCCGGTGGTAGGGCACCCCACAGCTTCTACTGGCCACGGGTCACCCTGTGATGCTGTGCCCAAACACACTCCTCGTGGTGGTATGAGAAGAACCCATTCTTTGCACCTCCCCCATCAGGCTTCCCCACATGGATTCAGATCCAGCCCACAGTGGCTGATTCTCAAAAGGAGCCACCCTTACCTGGATGACCTAGTGACCAACATAAGAGTCTACAATGTGAAAGATGACTGGGGCAAATGCACCTCTCTCCAGCTCTCCATAACACAACTGCTCCTCAAGCAAGAAAGATGTTCCAGATGTGGAACTTGGTCCTCTCTGAGCTTGACAGGTGTTATACTTTGCATCTTCAATGGCCCCCAAAAGCTCATTGTTGAAGACTTGGTCTCCAGTGGGGCAATGTTCAGAGGTGGGAACTTTAAAGATGCTCAGATCCCAGTGGCCATGAACTCATGAATGGATAAATCCATTGGATTCATAACCTGATGGGCTTCTGGGAGGTGGTAAAAGCTGGGTGGTGAGCCCCAGGCAGAAGAAGTATGTCACTGGAGCATGTTCTTGGGTCTATTTTGTTCCCATCCCCTTCCTTTTCTTGTTTCTCTGTCCCCTGGCTTCCTGGGAATGAGCATCTTTCCTCCACCATGATGCACTGCCTTGCCACAGGCCTAAAGGAGACTGGGCTGAGCAACTGTGGACTGAAACTTCTGAAAGTGTGAGCCAAGTAAACTTTTCCTTTTTATAATTTCTCAGGTACTTTGTCACAGTGATATAAATATGACCAGCGTAAATGTTCTAGAAGAGGATACCAGCATAGGGGGTATGCGGGCCCAGAGAAGACATGGGGATTCTTCAGTCATCTGTTGGGCGACACTTCCCACTGTTGGTGAGGCCACAAAACAAATAATCTGCTGTGGCTCATGGCTTGAAGACAGGCTAGCTGGCCATGGGACAAATAAGGGCTGTGGAGGAGTCCCTTAATGGGTGGCAGCCTACACCACTGGGGACAGAGGTGTTACATCAGGATGGTTTGGAAAATTCTGTACTTCAGGTGACACAATTCTGACAGTGTTTCACCAGGCCATTTTGAGTCAACATCACTAAAAAACTGAAAGTTGTGCCTCAAAGCCTGCCAAAGAAGAGTCTGTTCTGGTTTGAGTCTAGATGTCCCCTTAAATCCCATGCAGTCACGGAAGTGGGCTTCTGGAGTTTGTGATGACTTGTGGCCCAAGGCTGGGATTATGGGTGTGAGTGCCACACCTAACTGGGTGTGGCCCTCACAATATAAGGTACAGAATCTTTTTTCTGTTTCTCTCTTTTTGCTTGTGTTGCTTTTGTTGTTTTCTGAATCCATGAACTGTTGCCCTCTGCCGCGGGCCACCCTGCCTTGGAGCCAGCTGATTATGGACTGAAACCTCCACAAACAGTAAGCTAAGTAAACCATTCCTTCCTTCATTTTGGGCATCAGGTATTTTGTTTCAGCGAGGAGACAAAGGTAACCAAGACGGGGTCCCTGATAAATAAAGAAACTTTCCATAAGCTGTAAATTTACAGAGAAAGGGTGAGCTGGAAATAGACGATACCTTATGAGAACTGAAACTAGACTCGAAATTGCCTCAACCTCTGATCAGATGAGTGATCTGCCTACTACAATCAAGAGTAAATATGGTCTGGAGAAAAATTATAGGACCCAGAATCCAAAATTACCTTGCCACTTTTCATCACTGCATCAGAGTGCAGCTAGAGAAACACAGCCAAAGGGAATTATGGTAGTAGGAGCTTATTGGAGGACCTAAGCCTTAACACACACATGATAAAAACCAAGAAGTGACATCCTGAGGAGGGGAGAAGGATGAGAGTGTTATTAAACTGCTCACTCAAAACATGGGTGTGAACGGGCAGGACAGAGTTGGAGAGAACTCTGAAAAGTTGAATACGTCCTCTCTAATGTAGGATGCCTAAGAGGAAGTCTCCAGAAGATCCTATGGAAAGCCATCACCTCTGTATAACTGTCTCAAGCACATGGCCAAGGCGGGGCTCAAGGTCATTATAGCCAAAGGGCTGGCAGCTGGGAAGATGAACTGCATGTGGAGCAAAGCAGAGCAAATTGTCTTGTATGTCATTTTAAGATAGTTGTTCACAGCAGGAGAGTAAGTCTGGTCCTTTCCTTTCCATCTGAATGGCTTTTTTTTTTTCATTTTTTAAATTCAGCTGTGAATTTTTCCATTGTAGCATCTTACCTCTTGAACATGTGATAAGAATTCAATTCTATACCTAAAATTGCTACATGTGCATGACCTGTGATCCTACATTGTTTTTCCTCTTGGTATTCAGTTATTTTGTCATACCTCCTGGCCTCCTTGTTAATCTTTGTACCGAATATTTTATGTAAAAAAAAAAATTGTAGAGATGTGCTGGAGCTATGGCTCCCACAGCCTTCCCTCTGGGGTTCGGGAGAGTCTAGAACAGCACCACACAGTGACAATGACAGTGGAAACCGTGTGTGGACCCCACTGTTCCTCATGGTAGCCACTGTAGCTATACATGACAGTCTCATGTGGCTATGCAGCACTTACTGAGTTTTAAATTTCATTCTAATTAGTTTAAATGTTATACGCTCAGTTGGCTAGGAATATCCTCTTTTCCCTTTTTTGCAAGAACATAGAGATGGATTCCCATGATCCAATCTGGGATTGAATCTGAAACTGGGTTTGGTCCTTTTGTGGATGACCCTACTTCCGGTTGACTGTTCCTTCTAATCTGTGACCCATTTTCAGTCCTAACCATAGGGCTAAGGTCTCTTGTTGTGAGGTTCTAAACATTAAATTTTATTTACCAAATGCCATGCATTGCCAAGCTTAATGCTGTGGTCCCCTCAGGATTCCTCCCTCCCTTCCAACACTTGGGTCCCCAAGTCCTGTCTGCTTTGGTAGCTGCAAACCTTTGTCTCCTGTTCCACCCAAGACACAAGTAAAGCTCTATACAGGTTCCCACCTCTAGGCCTATGCCTCCTGCTCCCTCAATCTTTTGGTCTCTCCAAGAGGTTAAGTGTGTGGGACATGCCTGTAATCCCAGCCCTCAGGAGACAGATGCAGGAGGACCACCATGATTTCAAGGCCACTTGGGCTACATAGTGCGTTCAAGGCCCCTGACCTACATAGCAAGACCCTGGGCTCAAAAAAAGAAAACAACAACAACAAAAAAGAGAAACCTTCTTTCCTGGGATACTGCCCACCTTGGTAGTTCTTTAGTGTCTTCAGATTGTCTTGTAAATGTGTGTCTTGTTTTCTCAGCTGGTCTCATGGTCTCTGTTGACAGGAGCTCTCCACAAAGGCTGGTAACATCCTTTGTTTTATTTTGATCTCTGCTGAAAAGTCATCTTCTCGATGAGGTCTTGGACTCCCAAACTAAAATACACTTACATTTTCCCCCTTATGTTGCTTTATGTCTTATCCATGGCACTTCTCATCACTCGGTACTGTGTATTTATTACTTCTATGTTGTAAGACTGTGGGCTCCAAAAGATTTTTTTTTAAATCAATGCCTAGAAAAGCATTTATTGAGTGACTAATAGTATGTTAACTGAGGAAGTGACCTGGTTTTTGTCCCCAGACATTGGTCTAATTGTGTTGGGGATCAGAAGACATGAAATAATAGTTTACTATGGTAGGGACCAGACTCCATGATGGTGGTCTCATGGTCTGAGGCTGGTGTGACTTGTCTCAAGGGACAGGGAAGTTTGCAAATAGCTGCATGTTCTCTGGCTGTTGGGAAAACTCATTCACAGTTTTTTGGTTTTTGTTTTTTTTTTTTTTTTTTTGTCTTTTTGAGACAGGGTCTTGCTATGCAGTTCAGGCTGGCCTTGAGTTTTTGTAATCCAGGCTGGTCTTGAACTTGCAACAATTCTCCTGCCTTGGCCTCCTGAGTTCTGGGATTACAGACACGTGCCACCACCAGCAGCTTCAATCTCTTGAAACAAAATAAAAATCGGGTATCCAGAAAAGGTCTTTATCTTGTTCTTTTTGAAACCCTAAACTTGATCCCCATTTTATAATCCTGTTCCTATAACAGACACTGTTTCAGGAAAAGCAAATTGCATCCCCACCCCCATCCCAGCTTCCCCATAATAAAAATAGACACCACCAGGAGATCACAGATTCAGTCCACTAGAGGCGAATTCCTCCTGGTCCCATTTTTATATCAACAGGACATCGTTTCTGCCTTTTATTTATTCCTCATCATCCTCCACAGGTGTCCAGGAGTCTGATCAGCCCCCAGCACAACTGAATGGAACAACACTGAAAAGTGTCTGATGGTCACGCAGTCAAACCAGGCCAAAGGGCTGTGGGCCAGGAGAGCCCTCCACCAAGGGCTGGATGGGGCACGAGGTCAGCATCGAGGAAAGCTTCCTTCCAGAAGGCCCCCAGAGTCCAGGGAGATGGGAAAGCAAGGGCACTCGTGGTCAGGGGGCCAGCGCGGCAAACCCTGCAGAGGGGCCCCCATCACCGAGCTCTCTCCAGGAGTCAGGCAGGAAGTTGCGCAGTCTCGCCTTCCAGACCGCTGGACCGCAACCCTCCGACCAAGAGCCCTCTGGCGGCCAGACCTTCGCGTGCACGGCCGGCTGGATCGCTGTTTATTCAGCACCTCAATCCTCCCAAGGGAGCCGGGATGCAGGGTTTGAGTTTATTTTCAAGGAACGTGGAAGATCGAAACCTTTGGTCACCAGCCCAGGCCTGTCCGCCTCTGTCTCCGAAGCCCAAAGCCTGGGCGCCCACCAGCCCCACTGTCCAGGACAGAGACACCGGGCAGTTGGGTGGGGAGAGGTGAGGGCAAGATGGGGAAGGGGGAGCCTGGAGCCAGGTGGGAAGGCCTAGCTCAGCCAGGAGGCCCAGGCTGCCACACACACAGGTGGAGAGGGATGAGGGGCAGTGCGGGGCAGAAGCCCGGATGGGACTGGAGTGGGAGCTGGAGCTGGAGCCGGGTCAGGCAGGGAGATAGCGGACAGCGACCTTGGAGGCCCCATGCCGGCCCCATCGGTGACTGGGACAGCACTGCAAGCAGGGATCACCGGGCTCACAGTGCTCACATGGCCCGGGCCCCTCAGCAGGCAGCCGCTCTGGTGGGCTCAGGTCGCACGATGCTGTCCCTGCAAGATGCCAGGCAAGGCAGCCTAGTTCTCTCCTTGTCGGGACGCTGGGCCTCGAGTCTTAGAAGGCAGCAGCCGCGGCCTGGGCGCGGCTTCGTGGCCCTTCATCCCTGGGCTCGTGCTTGTGCTCACCAATAGCCAGGCGGGGCCGGCCACGGGCCAGGCCGTCCAGCAGCGCGCAGGCCTGGCAGAGTGCACGGCTGGCCAGCGCCCCGCAGCGGGAGCAGGCGCCGGGCCGTGGTGGACGCACGGCCGGGGCCAGCGCCAGGCGCTCAGCGGAGTGCACCAGGTCCAGTGCTGCTGTGGGCCGCACTGCCTCCAGGCGCTTGAGCAGCTCGCGCGCGTGGCCCCGGAAGGCCCGAGGCGCGTACACGCACTCCTCGGAGAAGTAGTCCAGGCGGCGGAAGTGCGCGTACAGCACCACCTCCTTCTGCGATGCGAACTGCAGCGGGCGGCAGCGCGGAAGTGCGCCCCCCTCACCCGCTGAGCCCAGGCCCCCGCCCCGGGCCAGCCGCGCCGCATCTCCACGCAGGAAGTTCATGAGCACCGTCTCAGCCACGTCGTCGGCATTGTGGCCTGCGGGGGACACAGGGTGAGCGCGGCTGCAGCCCAGACCCCGACCCCCTACCTCCCGACCCCGACTCCAACTGGACACTGCGGGGCAGCCAGTGGGGCTGCAGGGGGACAGTGAGAAACCCGTGAAACCCGCGCCAGCGCCTGCAGCCACCAGGCCGCACCCAGCACTGCCTGCTGCTCCTCTTTCCTCACTTTTTTTTTCATTACTTTTAATGTTTATGTGTATTTGGTTGTTTATTTTGCAGCTCTTGGGATGGAACCAAGGGCTCGCACAGAAACATGCGTGCCACCCTGAGCCACATCGCCACCCGTCATGTATTTCTTTAGTGATAGGATCTGGAGAAGTTGACAGGGTCTGGAGAAGTTGACCGGAATGGCCTCCTATTTGCAATCCTCAGGCCCTGGGGTAGCTGGCTCTACCGGCCTGTACCACTGGGCCTCACCACAGACGGCCTCGGCCTCGAGGGCAGGAGGAGACGCTGCTTCGCACTCCTCGCTTGATTAAGGGAGACACAACAAGTGCCACTAAAATAAGAGTTTTACTTTTTAAAAAATCATTTAAAAGAAAAAAGGCAAACAAAACCCTTTGGAGGTGGGGATTTAGCTCAGCGGCATAAGCACCTGCCTTACAAGCCTGTGGTTTTGAGTTCGATCCCCAGTACCAATTAAGAAAAAAAAAAAAAAGGCAAACAAAAATCACTTAAGAGGCTGGAGAGATAGCTCAGCAGCATAAGCATCTGCCTGGTACCAAAAAAAAATTATTTTTAAAAAGAAAATTTCTTTTCCTAGAGAACCAGCCCTAACCCCTCAAGAGTAGTCCCTCTGCCCCTGTATTTGCCAGTGTATACAATGTCCAAAATGATGGCAGGATCAGAAATCTGCAAAACCAGCCCTGTCCCACCTAAGGGACAAATACAGACTTCAGCTCCATCCCTGAAACATCTATCCCAGGTCCTTACTGTGCTCCCCAACTTGGCTTGGGCTCAAGGCCTCCACTCCCACGCATGCGCCCCAGCCTCCTACCAGCACTCTCCCTCCCTCCCTCTGCACATGCGTACTTGCGCCCCATCAGCACTGACTCCTCCCCCGCACCGAGCCCGCGCTTACCCGTCACCACGTGCGTGGCTCCCACTAGGCGCGCCCCCTCCTCCAGCGCTCGGCGCCGCAGCACTCCGCAGAAGGTGCAGCAGGAGCGGCCACGGCCAGTGCCAGCCGTGCTGCGGGCCACGGCGTCCATCGTCCAGCCCCCAAAGAGGTCCTCGTAGGCCACGATGGTCAGCGGCAGGCCCCAGCGCTCCGCCTGGCGCCGCACGGCTGCCAGCGCCGCGTCCCGGTAGCCGCCGATGCCCTCGTCCACGGCCACGAGGCGCAGCGTGAGGCCCAGGCGCGGCGCCAGCTCCCGCAGCACGTGCGCCAGCACCGTGGAGTCCTTGCCTCCTGAGGCGCCCACAGCCACCACAGCGCCAGGTGGCAGCAGGCGGCCCGCGACCACCGTGTGCAGCACCTCGGCCTCAAAGGCGGTGCAGAAGCAGGGGCCGCACAGTGCTTGTCCTGAGCGCGGGCGGCGGAGAGCAGCACGCGCTGTGTGGCAGGAGGCACAGGTTGGGGCTGGCATCGCGGAGTCACAGGGTCACGGGGTGGCGTCTCCTGGACGGGAGAGAGGTGGGGGGAAGCGGGTGATGTTCGGCGCCCTGACTGTGGGGAGGCTATGCGGATGGCGCCGCCGTGTGGGGCAGAGAGGGGCAGCGTGTGCACGGGTAGGAGCCTCGTCCTGATCAGGACTGGAAGTTTCTGTCTGGGTTACGGTGAGGGACACCACCATCCATCTCCGGGAAGACTTCTCAGATTGTACCCCTAAGGCACCAAGAGCAGAGGTGGTTTCAGGAGAGGAGGAAAAGAGCAGGTGATGCTCAGAATTAGGTTCGTCCTCTCCAGAGGGATGCCTTTAAGGACCACTTGCACAGCCCTCACCTTAGGGACAAGGTGGCCGTCTGTGCTGTGGACCTCTTGGTGGGTCAGGCTCAGGAGAGGAGGGAGTCAGAGCTCTTACGGACAGAGGGTGGCCAGGAGGCTGCGCTTCTGTTTGGGGTGGGGGGAGGTGGATAAACTTCCCAATGGGATTCACTGTTGGGGAGGGTGCTGTCTCCGGAACGGGCCCTGCGAATTCTTCTGATAGGCAGGCTGATCATGTCTTCCAGAGACAGAGGACCGCAGCTCTACCTCCAGCCCACCTCTACTTATTTTAGATGCACGTGGTTTTGTGGCCTCGTGGAGACACGATGAGCCCTTCTTCAACCCCTCGATTCCCTTTCCTGCCTCGTCTCGCCCTACCCACTGGGGCTCGTCTTCCAGCCACATTGTCCATGTCTTGCTTGCTTGCGGAACCCCTCCCTCGATCATCTCCAGATTGGACTGGGGTGGTAGCTATTTCTTGGATTAAGCAGAATGTTCAGAAGTATTCTGTCTGTATTTTTACTCTGTGTACCATGAGGCCAGGAACCAGTGCCACTCAGATATCTTAACAGGTATCTCCGGAATGGAGATAGGAATATCTAATTTCCAGTTAAACAGAGAGGTTTCTTCTGCAGTAAAGGGCAGCCCTACCCTTCCAGGTGCTCAGGCTGGAAGCCTTGTGGTCCAGGACCACTATAGTCACCTCCCTGTCTGCTCTCACTATACCTTTCTATGTGCCCCCCCCCCGGGGGGGGGTGGAACATACTCAAATAATTTGCTGCTTCAAAACAAATCCAGAAATCAAGCTCTTCTCACCATATCCATGGCCGGCAAACTATACTCCCTGCTTCCACCTCTCTGCCTCAGTACACGCCCATCTCTACACACAGTGGGATCCTGCCCAGTATCTCCCAACACCCCAGGATCTCATCTACCCCAGTGAATATTGTGTATGAAGCCCTAAGAGCTCCAACCTCTTCTCTGGACCACATCCATCTCCTCCCAAAGCATTTCTGCCACACTGCTCTCTAAAGGAACAAGCCTGCCTCCAGATGCTGGCACTGGCTCTCTCCTCTGTTTAGAGAACTCGTCAAGCTCCCTGAAGCAAGTGACCTTCAGGACTCATCTGTCATGACCTTTAAATCCATCTGTCACAGATGAACACATCCCTCTGAAATTTCTCTCCCAGTTTTTGATTCAGTCCTCACTCTGTTTGCTTCCTACTCAGTCCTCTTAGGAAGGGCTCTCTGTAGGGAGCAGCTAAAGCTGGAGATCAGTCATATGTGTGACGCTAAAGCAAGGCTAGCCCTGAGAACATGGAGAGCCCAAAGTGAGCCACATAAACAAGCTGTACCAGCTCCTACAAGGCAAAGGGCCCAGGCCAGCCAGGCAAACAAGCTGCCAGGCAGCTTGAAATTGCCAGCATCCTTCTGAATGTATAAATAAACATGCCACCAAAGTTGAGCAGTTCTTTCCCACCCATCAGGAGAGAGGGCTCCACCTGACCTCAGCTTTCATCTGTTTTCTTTATTTGTCTCACCATCCTTCCACCTAGGGAACATCTAGAGCTGCAGCTGGATGCGACAAATGGTGCGTGAACACAGACCTTGGTGAGAAGAAACCAGTGGGTAAGGAGACACTTCTCTTTGTGCATGCCAAAGAGGGTGATGCAATATTGATATCATCAATAAAACTTGGGGAGACGGAAAAACAGGATCACGAGGGCCAGAGAGAAAAAGGGGCTCACAAGAAACAAGGGAGAGAAGTGTGTTGATTTTATCAGATGTTAAACATGGAGCAAACATTCTCAAGAACCACAAAAATATATGGACCTGTTGGCTGTATTCCTGATTCCTGTATTTACCTTTGTTGACATACATCAGGGAGTGTCTCAGGGATTGTGTGCCTATTAAGACTGCACAGCTTGCCCGATTTCTTGAGTTTGTTCCCAGAAGAAAAAACTAAATTTACATGCTTAGGAGGAAATGAAAGGGCAACTTAGAGCAAGGCTAGGAAAAAGGAAAAAAAGCAGCACAAATCTATCTGAACCTCTACAGACCTCTAACGAGTTATCTAACAGGGAAAAACTGCTGCTTTCTGCTCCTCTACTGCTTCTCACATCCCCCCCCCCCCCATGGGAGAGGAAACCAGCCAGCTAAGCTGGAGCTCAGCCTGCACAAGGGGAGTGAAGAAATAAGTGGTGCTTTTTTCAGCTGCAAAAGGGGAAATGTGATTCTAATGTAATACAATGTTGGTAGACTTAATGGTTGTAAAGATTGTTAAAACTTCCTTTTAGGTTCACTGATAAGATGTGAAGAATAAGCATGTCTTTATATCTTGAAACTATGTTTCGAGAAATGTGTTTGTTACTAAGTTGACAAGGTATGGATAGGAATGGTGATACACTGTGTCAACTTGAAGTTTTAGAAGCTTGACTGAGTGGCTCTGCTGATAGGCTGAGCTCCTCACCTTGTAAACATCCTTATACTATGCAGGAGGTTGCCCCCCCCCCCAGATGGCCCACGTGCTGCACCCACCCCAGGCAGCAAGCCTGCTTGTATAGTGTGGTGAAAAGAGGCTTCTGCCCTCTCTCCTTCCTCTTGCCACTTTCTACCAAGTCTTTCCCATGCCACCTTCCATCAAAACACTTCTGCCTTACAAACAATTCCATTTAATCCAGGGGCTTGGCAAATTGTTAAACAATGTTCCTCATGCATACTGCATCTTCTCTCATGCTCTGTGGGGTTAAGTCCTGAGGATCACACCCCAGTTAACTCTGGCAAGTGAATGTCACTCACAATCCTGAGTGTCCACGTTTGAGTAAAGACTCCCTATGGTTTATTTTTGCCTCTGCCCACCCTGGTGAAGTGGCTAAAAATGTCACTGCTCATTGCTTGGATATCTTATTAAAAATATATTACTGTGATTTGTTTTTGCCTTTTTTTGAAACAGGGTCTCTCTATGCAATTCTGAGCTCATTTTATAGCCCAGGCTGGTCTCAAACTTGCAGTGATCCTCCTGCCTCAGCCTCCCAAGCAGGCATGCACCACCATGCTTGGCTGTGATATGTTTACATTGGTCATCATCAAAACGTTTAAGTTTTCCAAACTATAAGGTTTTTGGTTTAAAGATGCTCTGATACAAAGATTTTCATATGGCTATAACAATTCACTGTTACTGTTTTTTGAATATATTCATGCATTGAATATATTCATGCCTACAGATTTGTGAGTCTTCCAAAGTTCCAAAGGAACAAGGTTTATATATAGTGACACACTTTTCTTTCATAGTCAGACCTCTGCCTTTAACAAAAGCTCAGGTGATATACATCCCACCAAAGATCCACAAATTAGGTAAAACTTTCTTATGTATTAGGTAGAGATCATTGATTAAAAGAAGTATTTTGTATCAAAATGGAAATTCAGGTGTGTTACAAAATGTCATCATGACTGTCATGCTGTAACATTGTATATGGTTTTGATTTCTAATTCTCTGTGTGTAATATGTAACTTAGCATTTTCTAGGTATTCAAATGTTAAAACATCCATGGTCAGTAGAAAATAATGCTTTCATTTTATGATCTAAGGTGCTTGATATTTCTATAAGATAATGCCTCTACTACTCTATATTGTTATCAGTCTTTTCTTCTGAATGCTTAACAACTGAGGGTTGGAGACCAAAACACTAGAAAGATAGATGGGCTAAGAGGATAGCCAATAACATGGCTCCAGCTCTCCAAAGTCAGTGAAGACCAAGAATATAAGAAAACCTCTGCTGTGGCATCCCATAACTTGGTGAGTCCCTGGTCATCTGGCCAAAGAGTGGGGAACCATAGAGAAAACTGATGCATCATATGTAGTGTGCCAAAGGAGAGTCACCAAGGCAGAAAAAAAATCTCCCATGCTTTCACAGAAAGCAGCTTAGTCAAGCAATGGCTGAGACTCATCCAGATGGCTGACACTGACAGAGGACCTAAGAGGTGCTGTGCATGGTTCCAAGGCAATTCCTGAGGAGACTTAACTGACCTTGATAGATAGCAAGAGATTAATTGTAATGAATACAGATCTCACTTTAACTTGGCCATGGGTATTCAATAGAAAAGTATAACCACAAAATGTTTAAAACAATGCCATATGTTATAGTAGAAGCTCAAATCACTAACACCTTCTCACAATTGCCAGCTACACTGCTAACAACACAGGAACTTAAAATCCTTGGACTGAAAATCTTCAGTATAAACAACTAAGTTAACTTAAAATGAAAAGGGTTCAAAAGTGAAAAGACAGCTCCAAACACAGCTCCTCCAACTTCAACTGACCACCCATCACGTGCAACCACAAAACAGAAAAGGAGATGTACAGAATGGCTGAAGCTGGAGATCGCACGTGTGAAGCTAAAGCAAGGCCAGTCCTGAGAACATGGAGAGCCCAAAGTGAGCCACATAAACAAGCTGTTCCAGCTCCCAAAAGGGAAGGGGCCTCGGCCAGCCAACAAACAAATTGCTAGGCAGAAGGGTTGAAATTGATACCATCTTCCTGAGCACATCAATAACTGTGCTATATTGGTTAAGCAGTTCCTTCCTTCCCATCAGGACAGAGGACTCTACCAGACCCAGCTTTCACCTCTTTTATTTTCTCCAATGCCTTTCTATCCCTCCTCAGAACACCTAGCTGGATGCAGTAGGTCTCGTGGTCCTTCCTAGTACCTCTTTATTTTGTTTGTGATGACTCTGAATCACAATGCTTACCACCCTGGTCCACCCCATGCCCAACAAAAGGTGCTCACTGGCCTTCTTTGACAACTTTTCAGTGCCCAAACTGACCTGCCACTGCCACCGAAGGCAGGAAGTTACTGAGCTATTTTCTCACAACCACAGAGCAGCCCTTCCACCTAGCACCTTTACAGAACAGGACTTACCTTTCACATCTTCTAAACTGACAGTCACCAAGTCCTGGAGTCCATTTATGGGCCTCATCAGATTCAGTCCCACTCCTACTGCAACTCTGCTGTGGGTGATCCAGGACCTTCACAGCCCTTTATGTCCTGCCTCCACCACCCTCAGACTGCTGGTGGACTTTCCTCCATCACCACCAGCACTACCCCACACTCCAGGCTGATTCCATTGTCTGGGGAGTCTGCTGAATGCCTTGGTGACTTGGTTCTTATCTTCCAGCCTCAGCTCAAACTACAGTTGTCATTCATCACATATCCAGAGTGCCTTGTATGTAAGCAACATGCTCTAGGCACTGGAGACATATCAGTGAGCAAAAGTTTCATAGGCACAGATGCTCTAATGAGAAGGCTAAACCATGGATAAAGAGTTAAGGCAATATGTTTCCCAAATATGAAAAAGCAGTGCAAGGAAATTATCCTTGGTGCTGCAGCTGAGGGAATGGGAAGAAGGTTCCTTAAGCTGGGGGGGGGGGGTCAAAGAAAACCTCTGAGCTGAGACCAAGAGGATGAGGATTCAGGCATTAGAAAGGTTACAAAGAACGTATCAGAGTTATTAGCAAATGCAAAGGATGGATTTAAAGGGTAGAGTCTGGCCATGCTCAACTGGCTGGAAAGTGTAATTGAAGAACACAAAAGAGCAAAGCCTTGGGAATTGGTAAAGTGAAAAGCTTGAATTTTATCTGAATGACATGAGACCTACCAGACTACTTTATGCTATGAGGATAACTGCATCTGATTTAACAGGATCCCTCGGCCTACAAGAGTGGCGAAAGGTCAGGGCAGAAACAGAACAGCGGGGTGGCTTACACTCATCCATGGGAGCCCCAATGACAGCGCACACCGGAAACTGGAGGGGGCCGGGGCCGGGAAGACATGGACAAGTTGTGGAGATGCAGCCCACTGGGTTCACACCCAGTCTTGGTTGTGAGAGAGACGGAGAGAAACAGAAGCTAAGGAACCACTCCAAAGTGCGGCTTGAGCTCTGGCTCGGAAGGTTAGTGGGGAGGCGCTGGGAGAGGGGTGGGTTTTAGGGCTGAGAATATGGGTGTTCCTCGGACGTGGTAGTTGTTCGTGATCCGGGGAAGTGGGTCCTGAACTCTGGTCTAAGTCCAGCTCCTCCTCTGGGCTCCCGCGGCACCCGAGCGCCCCAGGCCAGCCCTGACCTCTTAGGGTCTGCGCAGCACAGAGCAGGGAACGCTTCCACAGCGGCAGGGCCGCAGAGTGCAAAGCACGCCCGCGAGAGGGGGCGCTGGGGATCACGGGAGGGGGCAGACTCCCAGGATCGCTGGGAGAGAGACAGAGAATTTCAGCTCAGCCGAGACAGAGTGGCACAGGACCGGCGAGGGGTGGGCGCTCACCTGAGCAGAACACGCGCGGAGGATCCGGGATCAAGAAAACGCGGAAGCGGGCGGCGGGACTCGGTCTCCCAGGAGGCTGTGGGCCCGCCGCCTACGACTCCCAGGTAGCTGTGGGCGGGGCTGCTTGCAGACCAACTGGAACTACAACTTCCGGCAACCCTCGCGGCAGCGTCGCGCGTCCTACCCGCTGCCTCCAGAGTGCGCTGCGCCGGTCCGCCCCGTTTCCCGTCTGCGCGTGCGCGGTAGTTAGCGCAGCGTATGTGGGGTTGGAGGTAAGAAAGGGGGTAGTTGTGGGCAGTGAGCAGATGCAAAGTAGACCCCTACGCGCGTGTACAAGGGCGGAAATGGGTGCGCGGCGGACTGGGGACTCTGCTTCCATGGAACTGATACGGTAGGGAGCGGTTTGCAAACCTCTACGCGTGACGTGGGACGGGTCAGCGGTCAGGGGGTTCCACTTATTCCCTTACAATAAAAGCACAATACGATTTGCAGCATGTATTTCTGCACTTAACAGATCCAGTCCAAAAGCTACTTTCCTGAGAAGAGGTTGGATTCTGTTCTTTTAAAAACGCATTTATGACCCCATAATGTCTTTGGATACAGGCTTCTGCACGGTTTGGTTTTGCATCTTCCCTCTTCCCTTTTGTTTACTGTGAGCTTTGCATTGTTAATTAGGTCAGCCAAAACCCCCCACTGCCTGAACCTGTCTCTTTCTTCATTGGAAAGAGGAACCTGGTGAACTGAATTGGGGCAAAGAGAGTCATGGGCCCAGTCATCACTCACCACTGACACCCGCGGGCTCAGAAAACTGGTCGAATGGGGGGCACATATTAGGAACGTTCGGAGGGGCACTTCAGAGCAAAACGGGAGTCTGGCCTCCTTGGAGAAATTCCCTGGCTCGCCCAAAACACAGTAGACTTCTGAAGGATGGAAAAATACGCCTTGGAAGGTAGATACAGCTTTCTACGAACGAAAATACAGTTTATTGTTAAAGCAATTTGATGTCATTTGGAAGACATGGATGTGCACTCTTAGTTTGAATACACCAGTGTTGCTGCTAATTTAAAACATTACAAAACCGTTTTGACATCTTAATATAACTTTGTGGTAGTAAGTGTTTTTTAAATGCAGTTGTTTGTACCATGCTTGTTCCACAACAATGAAATACAAGTTGCATAACTACACTCACCAAGTTCATTTTGTGATTGTTCAGAATTAAATTTTCATCATCTAGAGTCCAGGGTACAGTGGCAGCCTTTTTTTTTTTTTTTAAATTTAAAAGGAAAAAGAGAAAAAAACAAAACAAAACAAAGCAGTGTAAGGGTACAAGTAATACAGAACTACAAAAAAAAAAAAAAAAACAGTAAGAAATCACCAGTTAATAGATTACACATTATCATCTTATAGATAGTTGCTCAAGTCACAGTATCAAAGCATACAAAGTAGGGGTTGGGGATTTAGCTCAGCAGCATAAGTGCCTGCCTTGCAAGCAGGCAGTCGTGAGTTCGATCCCTGGTACCGATAAAAATGAAAAAGACCCAAAAAAAAAGCATACAAAGTGGACATTCAAACAGTGAGACTGTAAATAGTTGTGTTCAATGATCCAACCAAAATCATTAATATGGTCATCTATTTAACACCCCTAAACACACTTGCAGTTGTATCCTTTAGAGCACTTTTTTTCCCCCTCTCTTTTTTACAACACAATTTACGCATTTTGGGTTTTATTACTCCTTAGTTCTTATTACTTTTTTTTTTTTTTTTTGGAAAAGAATAAAGTCAAATATGGCAAAACAAAGCTGTCAGTCAAAACCAAGGATAGACATAGCACATGATGTAAAAACAGAGTACAAGATTATCAACGATGGTTACCATAATGCCTGTTTCTTCCTTAAAAAGGATTGTCTATTTCATTAGGTATTATAAAGTTGAACAAAAGAGTAGAGAACAAAACCAATAAAACCTAAACGTTGTAAACATTACAGGACTTCCAAAGAAGATATTAGCCAAACCAGAATGGACATCATAGTGAATCTAATTGCCTTCAGAGTAGTTGCCTATACCCTCAAACTTGATAGTATCATACAGAACGGAACAGAGTCTAATCAGTCAAAACAAGATAGTGGGAGTATTATAGGACTTCAAATCAAGTTAATAGGAAATCAAAAAGTTACTATAATATATCTTGCTAACTTTTTTTATTTTTCCCTTAATTAAAAAAATCATAAAAAATAACTAAATAATTTTTTTTAATGAATAAGGGAGAGATTGAGATAAAAGAGGACATTAACAACACAACAACACAGGTCAAAGCATGACAGTTTCAGCAACCTAGTGCTTCACCACCAAATAACCTGACTTAATAGTAGTTATCACAGGGGCTGGTGATTTAGCTTAGCAGCATAAGCGCCTGCCTTGCAAGCAGGTGGTCGTGAGTTCAATCCCCGGTATTGGTAAAAAGAAAAAAAAAGTTTAAAAAATAGTAGTTACCATAGTGTCTTTTTCCTTGAAATATTTGAATATAACTTCATATACTATAGCTTCAAATATATCCAGTCAGTGTAAAACCATTCAAGTGGATGAAAGCATTGTAGGGTATTTAGAACCAGCTAACAGAAAACGAACAATGGTTTCTATATTATCTCTTTGCCTATAACAATTTTTGTTTATACTACCACATATAATAAAATCCAGCAAGATACATCATGATAAAACCAATGGAGACAGAAGAGCCATAGTTTGGTGGGGTTTCAAAACAAGATGATAGTAAATCATCATTAGCTATTATGATGACGTATTGTCTTCAAAATAGCTGTTCATTTCATCACAGGCAATAATATCAAGCAGCCCAGAATAAAGCCATTCCAATAGTGCAGGAGTGTACCTTTTTCCCCCCACAGCCTCTCTAGCATTTGTTATTGGTAGTTTTCTTGATCCTGGACATTCTTTCAGGAGTGAGATGGAATCTCAGTATGGTTTTAATTTGCAATTCTCTAATGAGTAATGATGATGAGCATTTCTCCATGTATTTATTTGTGATTTGTATTTCTTCATCTGAGAACTGTGTATTCATCTCAGATGCCCATTTGTGCCTTGGGTCTTTGAATTTCAGGGCTCTGATTTTTAAAAATTATTTATATGTTTTAGAGAGAAGTCCTTTGTCGGAGGGACAGTTCACTAAGATTTTTTTCCTAGTTGATGAGTTTTCTTTTCACTATGCTGGAGATTTCTTTTGACATGCAGAAACTTTTTAATAAGATGTAATCCCAGCTACTGATTCTGGGAAGTATTTCCTGTGCGGTTTGATTCCTGTTAATGAACTTTTTACCTACCCCTATGTCTTCAAGATTTTTACCTAATTTGTCTTCCGACAGATTTAGTGTTTCTGTTTTAATATTCAGGGCTTTGATCCATTTAGATTTTAGTTTAGTATACGGTGATAGGCATGGGTTTAGTTTTAGTTTTCTGCATGTGAGAGCCAGTTTTTCCAGCCCCATTTATTAAAGAGACTGTCGTTCTTCGAGTGAACATGTTTGGCCCCTTTATCAAAGATAAGGTGATTGAGTGTGTTGATAGTTGTGATTGTATCTTCTAATCTATCCCATTGATCTTCGGCTCTGTTTTTATTCCAGTACCATGTTGATTTTATTACATTTGCGTTAAAGTATAACTTCAAGTCAGGGATTGTGCTGCCTCCTGCCTTGCCTTTGCTGCTTAGAATTGCTTTCGCTATCCTAGGACTCTTCTGGTTCCAGATGAATTTTAGGATTGATTTCTCTAGATCTATGAGGTATGTTGATGGTATTATCATTGGGATTGCATTGAATCTGTATAAGAGTTTTGGGAGAATGGCCATTTTTACAATATTTATTCTTCCTATCCATGAGCAAGGGATGTCTTTCCATTTTCTGAGATCCTTTTCAATTTCTTTTTTCAGGGTATTACAATTTTCTCTGTATGGATCTTTTACTACTTTTATGAGATTAATTCCTAAGTATTTCATTTTTTTGGGTATTAGTGTGAAGGGTGTGGCTTCTTTTATTTCTTTCTCAGTGATTTTGTTCTTAGTGTATAGAAGTGCTATTGACTTTTGAGTATTGATTTCTGTATCCAGGTACATTGCTGAATTTATTTATTATATCTAGGAGTCTTTCAATGGAGTTTTGAGTGTCTTCTATGTAGAACATCATGTCATCTGCAAACAATGATACTTTAACTTCTTCTTTTTCTATCTTTACCTCTTTTATTTCTCTCTCTTGTCTAATTGCTCTGGCTAGTACTTCCAGTACTATATTAAATAGTAGTGGTGATAAAGGACATCCTTGTCTTGTGCCTGATTTTAAAGTAAAGGCTTTCAATTTTTGGCCATTTAGTATGATGCTGGCTGTTGGTTTGTCATAAATGGCCTTTATTATA